TGATGAGATTACATTGAAAATAGCCCCAGGCCTACGTTACTAAGATATTCTCTATACGTTCATGCGTGCGTTGGCCGCCGAGAAAACGTTGCGATGCGGGGAAAGCGACACACTTCAAGGTGTGCGCGACTAATAGACTGAACCTGGAAGCAAGAGAGCAATGCCTAAGCTAGGGCCTAAAAAATGAGATTTTATTACAAGACCTCAGGCCTAGACTTTACAACAAAATTTGTCTGGGTCATACATGAACTAACTCTGGTACGATTCCAATTAATTTCCAATATTTATAACTCTGTAATTCCTGTAGACCGGAAGAAAGATATCTGTGATTCGCACAAACCTCGCGATCGCGAAGCTCGCACGCGGGTCTCACTCTTCCGGCAACAAACAGATATGACCTACGTTGACCTAAATGTTGACCAATCATAATCAAGAAAAGTTTGAAAACCGCAGTACGTACCGTGTAAAAGTCTACTTTCAAATAGTGCTGAACTTTTGGTTATAAAAAACACCTTTATGTACGTCCTATTTTGGTAAACTTTTAGTATGTTGTTTTACATAAAATTAAGTTTTATTTAGATCATAAAACGTTTTGTTGCAATTTTGTCCAGTCAAATCCGTATTTCCGGTGGACTATAAAAATAGCTGGATTGCTCATCGGCCAATCCTGATACAGAAAAAAGTGAGGCCTCTGCGATGCCATGTTGGAGGGCCTAAGTGACGTACCAGTTTATAAAAGTTTCTTGAATTTGTTTAAATTATAGTTGAAAATAACGATTCTTGCAATACTTTCAATAATAAATTTAAATTTAACCAAAGATACTAGAAACACAAGATAGAGTTCTCCACAGCAAAAAAGTGTTCCACCGAAATACATGGTGGAAACACAAACAATGGGGCGCCCCGTACGACTGGATCTAAAAAACGTCTACCAAACTTTCGTTACCAAGTCGTTGCGTATTTAATTGTCAGATCTCAATAATAAAAAATTCTACACCGCGATGCGCTATTGCGACGTACGGCATTGGAGGACGTTGCTGTGCAATAAATTGCAACACATTATACAAACAAGTTCATTATTTATATCGTTTTCCGAAGGATAGATAAGTGTAAAATAGATAAGTGTAAAATATTAAACAAAAAAACCATGCCAGTGTTTTACTCACCTCCTGAGAACCAAAATTGACTTGAACGTGCACGACTATACAGTATTCTGGGACTGGTGTTGTAACCTTCCCATACTTTACAATAAGCCCCTTCTTTAACAATCAACCATCCATTGTCGTATCCGCAGCCCCCGTAGTGTTTATTTATGAAGAATCTCCTTCTGTAATGAAAAGAAGTGTGTTTAATGTATTATTTTGTCCGGAGTACAGTCAATAATATATATATATTTTTTAAGAGTATAGTATACAGTAGTTGTACTCTTTGATATTATGTATAGGCCTACCAAAGAGCAAAGGAGATGGTAACTGACCCATCAGCACAATGCTAGGAACACGCGCGTGTTTTCTATTGATCTCCATTATGGCTACGTTCAGACCGCAGACATACGCCAGGTGTATCTAACGCTGGGCGATTAACGAACGCTAGCGTAAGTATTCGCACGAAATATTCGTATTCGTAATTCGCGCATTTTATTTCGTGTTTACATTAAGGCTTATTTTGAATGGTCAAATCCTGGCCGAGTTAAAATCATTGATGCTTGACTGTCAGTGGCGTACGCTAATCTGGGGTCTGTTGCTGAATTACCGTACGCCGAGTGATTGAGCGATCGTTACGTTGCGCACAAGTTCACACCACTCGATTAACGTTATGTCTGTCGTTGTGTCTGAACATAGCCTTTAATGACTGGATTTAGTCAAAGAACTTAAATAGTAGAAGAATGAGTTGTTCCGCGTATTTGCATTAAAATTGATAAAACATCCGCCCTCCCGCGAGCGGGGTAAAATTTGACCATTAGACTAAGTGGAGAAACTACTGGAAACAAACGAACCTGAGCGGCGCCTTTATTATTGATATATAGCGCTGCCGCGCGGACGGGGCAAAATTGCTCTCCGCGTACCCACAATGCATTTCGAACGGATGCTCCTCTATTTAGGAAACTGCTCTTTCTTCTGCTATTTATTACCTTTGATTTAGTTCATTGGTAGGTTTTAGTGAAGCTACCGGTGCTATGTTGGGGAGTACAAAACGCCACGAAAATTGCAAAAAACAGGCGCGCTAAATAGTTAGAGGATGTGTGAAAAAAAAAATTATATTTATTTTATTTTTTATTAATAAGTAGAGTAAGGATCGTTATTTTTAACAATAATTTAAACAAATGCCATTAAAAAGGAAAAAAAACTTGTATAAACCAGTACGTACGTCACTTAGGCTCTTACATACACTTTTTTCTTACATACTTACATTAATTTTTCCTCTACAGTTAATGGAAAGAGCAATCCAACTTTTTAGAGATCAGTGGTTTTTTTCCCACAAGCGCACGTGCTGGCGTATGTCTTTACACTGTCATTATCTGGGACCTTGCAACAATATCCAAGGGGTGGGGAATAGTGGAAAGGTCAATATGTATGATAACTCGACAGGATTAAGCCTGTTATGGCCAGTCTCAGGAATTTTCCTGAAGAGGGGGTCTTATGGAGAAACATTATAAGGGAAAAAGTCACGGGTGGAATCGGGGAAAATACCAAGGGAATATGTCAGGGAAAATTAGCTTGTATCACCGTTACCCTTATGTTACTGCTAAATTGAATTAGCAAAGTTTTTGCGCTTTTGAGTTTATGAGTTATAAAGATTGAGTGGATTGCCAATAAAAACAATCCCATCATGGCTAGGCCTAGAGGCTAGCCCACGAAGACCAAAGACCTTTCTGTATGTCAAACTTCGATCTTAAATATTAATTCGAGTAGGCTTAATTTCTATCACAGCAGCGCATTCCAATGTTTCTCAGTGCTCACTGAGTACCTATACATATCAGCTACGTTTGTTACATGCCAACTCTATGCCAGTGTGCAAGCACAGTCATAAACAAATTGTTTTCAATCAATAGGGAGTTTTCGCTGCACGACGTTAAGCTTAACGTTAACGGATGACGTCATAATTTATTCATCTTGCGTTGGGGAGTACGTTAATTTTAGGATTTTACGTGCTCGACGGACGTTAGTTACGAGTTTGCGCATGCGTATTTCGATTTGTTTACAAAAGGGGTGGAGTTATCGCGTTGCATGTTGGGTACTAACGTTAAAGTTAAGGTTAACGTCTTGCGGCGAAAACTACCTATTATCTCCAACGCGCTTGAACTTCCGTCATGTACTTGGTTCTACGCCCTATATAATATTTGCGTCATGGAACATTTCACCTCCATGTATTACCCGTATATCTTGGAACATTTGTTTTGAATTGAATATAGGCCTTCTTCTTCTAGAGACATGGCATCGAATGCCATGGACGGATCATGGTGGTGCGTTCTGCTTCCATTTTCTCCTGTGGTTTGCGATCTCGCCTAGCTGTTTTCCATTTCTAACTCCCAACCTGTTCATCATCCAATCATCTTTAATCTTTGTCCTTAATTTTTAATATAGGCCTACAAACCAGTAACCGCAGGGGTTTATTTAAGAATTTGAGTAAAGCAGGAGAAATTTGAAAGTAACAGGAGAGTAAATTGAAATAGGTCGGGGGTATAGGGGGGCAGCCTAGGCCCCCATCGCGGTCTAGGGGCAGAGCCCTGGTCGGGGGTCAAGGGGGCGGAAGCGCCATTGCGCTCCAGGGTTTTAGAGTTTTTTAAGCCCATTTGATGACAGTTTTAAGAATCAATTACTGAGCTCTAAAAAAGTTGATATTTTTACATATTCTTCATACATAGGCCTACCT